TGGCAGGCGGCAGCAGCGAAAGGAAAGGCAGGGGACAACGGGGGATGCGGGCGCTGGGTGCAGGCGAGAGCCCTTGGCTCGCCCTGCGCTTGCTTAAAAAGTCCGAGTTGGCAGAGGAAAAGGAGGGAGAGGGATAAAGTGCAGAGCTGAGCAGAACGCCGGGTGCTTTTCAAAGCAAAGAAATAACCCTGTTTCCTACAAACTAGGAGGCAAATCCTTCATGAAAAGCTCTTTCCTCCCCAAAGCCACCCCAGGGGCTCCGTGCATGGGTTCCCGGCAGCACACACCAGACCGACCACAGCCGGAATAAACCAGCAAGGAACGGTGTAGTTGAGCCCTTATCTATAGAATAAGGACGGGCAAAGACAACTTGCTTGGTTGCCAAGTTTCTGCCCTTGCTTTCTGATGCCTGCATGCCCTAGAGTAAGGCTGAGGTGAGACAGACGCTGCAAAGGGGCCCGTAGCCACCTGGGGAGCCCCCTGCGGTGCTCCTGGCTGGGGCAGGAGCCTGCCGGTGGCCCCAGATCAGCCGCGACCCTGCAGTACATCCAGGCTCCCCGGCACAGCAGGCTGGAGGAGCAGGGGGTGCGCAGCTCGGACACAATCTTGGACCACTTACACTGGCCAGGCAGAGCCGAACCCCCAAAAGGGAGGAAGACGGTGAATACCTGAACATTGAGAGAGGAAAGGGACAGTGCAGCAGCCTGGCTCTTTCCCAATGAACTAAGAGGGGCCTAAAGTTAGACTTAGACTAAACCCTGCACTGCTGTGGGTTTCACAGCTCTGGGTGAGATGGTGCTGATGCTTCTTGCACATCCCCACAAGGGTTTTTTTTTCACCCTGAATCCAGGGCCCAAGTCCCAGCCTTTCTTCTTGTCCCCCCTGCCCCCTGAATCAGGACTAGGTAAGAGCAGCACTGCCTGTTTCATGGGGAGAGGCTCCAGACCCCCGTGGAGATGGCAGCCAAGGGCCCAGCACACGCTGAGATCAGCTCCCTCCCTCCCCCTCAGCACCGAGGGCATGCAACAGCATTTGCCCCCCAGACCAGAAGAAACCCATTCTTTCCTTGGGTTCAAATGCCTATTGCAGGACGGCAGGGGAAACCCCCATCCCCAGGCCTCTGCTAGGACAGGGTGCACAGGGAAGAGCCCAGCAGCCAAAGCCCTGGCTCCAGCTCAGCATGGGCTAAGCAGAAGGATTGGCAATTTCCCCCAGGGCCATGGGGAGGTGGGGGACAGGCTAATTCCTTGATCCAGAACCATGAAGAGTCTGCCCCATCCCAGCAGAAAAGCAGAGGTGGCCTTAAACTTGCCTTCAACAAGACAAGCCCACCATCTTCATCTTTAAACCTGGTCCTTACTGTGCCCTCCCGGCCCGTGAATGAGCACGCAAGAGGACAGCTGATGTGCGATTGAGGGGCGGCCCAGACAACGACCAACCTGGCCAGCAACCTGGCCAGCCCTCCGCCTCTGCCACCAGGAGCCGAGCAGCTTTCAGGTCACAGCATAAAGCTCCTCACGGTCATTCTGGCAGATCTGATAGCGACAAGTGAGCTTCTGTGACCAGGCCCAGGGTTTCTTATGCTTGTCCCGAGGAGGAAGCAGGAAAGCAACGCTGGACGCCACCAGCACGTGCCAGATGCTGTGGGTGTAGTAATAGTTCTCATTGGTTTCCATGAATGCATATACTGAGATAGCAATGAAAGCCAAGGTGATCCCTGGGAGGAGGTAGAAAACCCAGCGCTTCCACGAGGAGGGGTAGCAGTGTCTGCGCTTCACTCCGTGGTAAACCTGGCGGTGGGAGAGCGTGGAAGGGTTAAGCAGCCAAGCAGAAGCTCGGGCAGCTCTGCCTGACCCAGGAGCATCTGCCAACCTCACAGCCAGAAGGTGTGTGCCTGCTGCCCCCGAGAAATTCAGCCTCCCCCCTCCCTGGGCCCATCTCTCGTGTGCAAGAGTCCCTGTCCTGCCCTGCCACCAAA